AATCCCAAGACAAAGAAATTTCAATCCAAAAAGAGAAATTAATTAAAGAAGTTAAATTACAAGGAAAATAATATTGCAGTTAGTTCTCATATATAATGGATGGAGAAATATTTTGATTATAATGATATCAGACATGTTTTAGTCAAATTTAGAGTGTGTTTATTTTTGCAATCATGGAGAATAGGCAACGGTTCATAATTGAGAATCCTGTTATTGGCTATCGTATGCGGGGGAGGTTTTTTTTGTAGTTAATCAAAAAGATTCCTTATAATAAAAGTTCGGCGTAATACTGTTAATGATTATTAATGCGAGTATTTGAACCGTTTAGTCATGTTAAAATCTAATCACTATTTTGTTTGGTTTGGTTCAAAAGAGTGATGCTGGTAAAATTAAATCAGGGTGATGAAATGATTTCACCATTTCACAAATTCACAAATTCACCAATTTCACCAATTTCACCATTTCACCAAATTTTTATTTTGGTGTTTAATTTTACCAGCATCTATAGTTCAAAATCTCGAAAACATAATCCCAAGAATGAAATCTAGAAAAATTCATGGAATTAAGCCAACCTAATTCGGATTAACTTTTCGGGATTCTGATCTTTCGGATTTTGTTCGTTGGAATTTGGTCCGGCTCCCATTTTAGTTTGACTAAAAAATATGTTCAAAATTTGATATAGTGTCTAATTTGACGCAGACGATGTTTTACGAAATTTTACTAAGTAAACCTAAATGTGTGCCGTTAGATATAGTTGTTCAGAACAGAATATGTCTTTTATTTGTTAATAATTATCAGGATAAAAAAAAAATGCCAATGCCATTATAAATAGGTCGCTATAAGCAATGCACCCTCTAACCAATTTGATTTTCTATCTAAAAATTCAAATTCAAATTATATTAATTGCATTTAATGTTAAAAAATAAATTCAAATTATATTTACCCTATGTTTAGTCAAATATCAATTTCATTATAAAAATTTGGTTTGGTCAAAGAAATCAAGCAAATATTTTTAATTAAGTTGTTTATTGAACATACCTGCACCAAGTAATTTGAGAGTAAAACTGCAATAAATAAACATACGGTTTCAAAAGGTAAAAAGAATAATGACATCGGTTGACCTATAATCCATCCTAATATCACTAATAGAGGAGTAACAAATAATGCGATTTGCTAAAAAATATAAAAACCATTAATTTAAATTATACCGATTTTCATACATTCATTATTAATTTACTTACTGTTGAACTGCCAACTGCAACGCTAATAGCAAAATCCATTCTGTCCTTCATTGCAATTTTGACAGAAGTTGCATGCTAATAAATTTAATATAATATAAATTTAAAAAGTAACATTAACAGACAGCGATGTGTATTCAAATTAAAATACCTCAGCGGCATTTCCAATAATTGGTAGTAAAACTAACCCAATGAAGGTTTTGCTTAAACCATGAGACGTGACAACTCCTTCAATTGAACTAACAAGAAATTCGGCAGAAAATGCCATTACAACTGTCACTGTAACTAGCAAAAATAGTGCCAAATACTTGCTTATCTGTAGCTCTTCATTTTCTTCGGTTTGGAATAAATCTTTATGGGTTTTTAACTATTTATGTAAATAATTTGACTAGTTATACGATACGTATTTACAATGGCATGGCGTATAAATATATGATACAGTACCTGAAAATATAAGTAAAGTATATATATTACAAATAACACTACTGAAGAGCCATAACTTAAATTCAAGATCCTAGAATCAGTCGTGCTGAGAGTATTATTAGAATTTCCATCGATAGCAAGACTAAATGCTGCAGGTACTATTAAGGCAATGCATGCTAAAGTCATCACACTTGAACTTGCTTGTGCTGCAGTTGAATCAAAATTTTGTTCTAAACGACCTTCTTTAAGAATGGTGATACCACCAAAGAGAAAACATGACCCCAACACTACCAAAATATTTGAGAGTACAGATCCAAGCACTGAAGCCTGAACAACGCGAATTTGTCCCTTTGTCAAAGCTATTATCGATATTATTAATTCTACGGCATTGCCAAAAGTCACGTTTAATAATGCTGCTAAGATCTTTAATTAAATTTAAATTGAAAGTAATAAAAATTTAATTATGAATTGATTTCCGGACATCTAATGAAAATAATAAATTTCAATACTTGTCCAACTCCACATGAAAGTTGTTCTGTCGCAAATCCAAGTAATTGGGCCAATAGTATAATTGCAAGAAAGTTTATTACAAAAATTAAGATTTCATTCCAGTTAAGAAAATGCGCAATAAATCCAAAAGGAAGTGCCAACAATAATACGTTGCTTTTAGAAGAAAAGATAATTTTTTTAAAAGATTCTATCAAAGATGGCTTATCTTGAATGATTTCACTCATTTTGATTATTTTTGTGAACGTTCTCATTTTTTTAAAGTAATTTTCGTATTGTTAATTAATTTTGTGTTTTCATATTAAATTCAATGAATAATTTTTATTTATTAGTTTTCAATAGCAATTTTAATAAAAATTTATTACCAATTGACAATCACATACAGTATCTAACTTATTAGTTTTCAAAACAATAATAAATATAAATTTAAGTTCAATCAATAATATGTTAACGTATAATTTACTACCACATACAGGATACGAATACATTTTTTTAGATAATACTGACATGAACATGTTCTTTAATTTTTTTTAAAATTTGTTTGATAAAAGTTATATTATGAAAAAAATAAAAATAAAAATAACATGTGCAATTTCGCGACATTTAATAATTCAAAAATATTTTTCTACATCTATTATTTCTAATTTTCTAAGCATATACAGTACATTTTACAATCGAGAAAACATAAAGCAAGTTTTCATGCTAACTTTTATATACGATTTTTAATATCAGCATTAGACTCATTATTAACAATGCTCTCATATGATAGATTGAAAGAGTACTGAAAGACTTTTAAGTAAATTTTGTTTTCTTGTTTTATATTTGTATTTTAAATTTTTGGATTTGTATTTCATTCTTTGATTTTTAGATTTTAACTTATACGGTGCTTTTTCAAGTTCTGTTAGTGTTTTCCATTTTTCCCCAGCAATTTTTGAAATTTGACGATTGTCAACGCGTATATTTGGATTATCTTTGATTAATTCATATTTTATTTTATCCTTTACTTCATTTCGAAATAATAAAAAAGCGTTTTGTGGACGTTTAATATCATTAAGGATCAATGCTGGAACACGTATATTTAGTTCTGGAATTTCAATGATTGTTTTTAATTTTTTCGTGTCATCTTCACGAATAAGAATTGGAGAATAGCCTACTGGAATAAAAACAGTCATTCCATTATTAAACTCAATATTAGGTAAAATACAAGGTTCTTCAATCGAAACAAAATTATTGAAATTCATTAGACAAAGTCCTTCGTAATAATAAACTCTGGGTGAAAGAAAGATTTTATAAATCCCAATTAAATTTTTATAAGAAACTCCATGTTATTATATTAATGAATGTATTGTTAAATATAGAACTAGATTTTGTTAAATTAGAATTTCAATTTTTTTCTATGTTTAATTTTAGGGGTTTAATTGTCTATTAATTATTGTATTGCAATTTTATAAAATCATTTAAAATTTTTGATTCTGTAGAAATAATATTAAATTCTAATAATTGAGAATTTTATTTGTTGTAAAAATAATTAATCTTATAGATCAGATTAATGTAGTCACGTGAATGACTGAATGTAACTACCGCTACCAAATTTTTTTTGAAAAAAAATACTAAAGTAAATGCGCCATTATTCTCTTTAAACGAAGATTTTGGACTACTTTTTAAATGAAACAAATTTTAGATACTATTTAACTGCGAAAATTCACAAGTAATCTTGTATTTATACTTGCAAATGAAAGATCTTGATATTATAGTTACATAATGGAACATTGGTTGACTGCACTTCCACCATAGGGGTCTTCAGTAACAGGAACACCAAGTTCATTGATGGCAGAACCTTTGTTAATTGAAATGATAGATGGATTCATTTTGTAAATTTGGTTAGCTAATAAGTTTTTTTTTAAAGGTTTGAGTTATATATTTTTTATTTCTTCTTTTTTTTTTTTATTTTTGAAGGTGATGAAGTTTTCTTGCAACTTTATAAGTTAAAATGGGTTGAAAACATGTAATTGATTCAGGTAGAAAAATAATTATTTTGATTTAAAAAAGAGCTACACAGAATTAAAATGGATTATTTTCAGTTGAATAAGTAAGAAAAGTATGCAAGTACAATTGATTTCAAGTTGAATGAATTTAATAAAAATTATGTGTGCCTTCGATCAATTTAGCAAAAATTTTTAATATAGAATTTAAATTAATTTAATTTTCCCATATATTTATATTGAGATATTAATTAAAAGAAAAACGAAACCCGAAAAACAGTGTTGCTTTAATATTCAAAGTCTATTAGTAGACTTTAAATTTAATTTATAATAATTTTTTTTTAAAATTTACATCCGAGAATAAAAATATGTCATATTGTCTATAAAAAATAAGACGGTAACAAAAAAAAATAGGCTATTTTCTAAGTTTAATTTTAATTGGCAACTCTCCACAAGTGGTTGTTGCCTTACTTTTCACATTTAATGGAGCATTCATATCAACTAACTCAACATCATATTTTCCAAATAATATTACCATTAAAGAAAGTAATTCAATTATTGCTAATCTTCTTCCTGGACAGATACGTAAACCTCCACCAAATGTTAATAATGAAAATTTATTCCTTACTTTATTATTCAAATTGTTTTTATTTTTATAAAATCGATTCGGATCAAAAATTTCAGGGTTGGTCCAATAATCTTTATGTGTGTGAATCCCATTAGTATTTATATGGATCACTGTTCCAGTTTCAAATCGATGTCCGGCTATTTCGCAAGGATTTGTAACATATCTTTGGAGTTCAATTACAATTGGATGAAGTCGGCTAACCTCATTAATAATCGCATCACAATATTCCAATTTTAAGAGATCATCATAGTTCAGATGTAAAGAAGTTTTTGAGAGGAATATTGAGTCAATTTCATCAATCATTTTTTTTTAACATGATGATGTTTACAGACGTAATAGACTATAAAACTGAATGTATTCGCCGTCTAGAAATTTTTCAACATAAAAGAATTAATAAAAATTATTAATATTCAAATCTTATTAGTTACTTACAGTGTCAATTCCACCTTGGAAAGAGTCAAGTAAATTAGCTCTTATTTCATCGTCTGTCATTGGTCTAGATATATTATCTCTACCATTATTTGTACGATTTATATCTCTTACTGTATTAGTAACAATTAAAGATGTCAACATATCATTCCTTAATTCATCTCCTACTGGTATTTCTTCAATTTCTTTTCTTCTTTTCTTAATAATTAAATCTAATATTTTAAATAAGTAATCCCGATTTTTAAGTGTTGCTTTAACCTGGTCTTTGATGAATGGAATATGATGACGTAAAAATGGGCTAAAATATAGAAAGTAAGTAAAGCCGGAAAGGTGATTTTTTATTCCTTGAATAAATCTTTCAGGATCTTCAATCGCTGTATTTGAGTTTTTTACTTTTTTGTTACTTAGAATATTATAATAGGAAGCCATCGAATAAGATCTTTCTCCGGTGACTACTATTACAAGCAAATCTAAGAGCCATTTTGTTATATCAGTTTCAAGTGACCATTCATAACTTGATATGTTTAATTTTCCAACATATTTCCAATATTCTTCTAGCTCTTTAGTTAATATATTGGACCTTTCTATGGCTTCGCTAATAAAACTTGGTTTTAGAACAGCATTGTCAAAGAATCTACGGTTAAATTTCCAACTGTTTATTTTATGATTTGAAATTATGCCTTTTCCAGACACTCCAAGCTCTTCGAGTCCTTCAAATATGGAAATCTCAGCATGAATGTTGTGTCGCTAGATGAAGGTGTTAAAATTTTTTCGATATAGTCAGGGCGCGAAATTACAATTCTTCGTGATCCGGTAAGATAAAATTCACAGATGTCTCCATATTTTTCTTGGAGTGACATTAACAGTTGTTTGTTATTTCCGGTTAACAAATAACTACATTCTATAAAGGGAAGAGGCAATGGTCCGGGTAATTTATTTGATCTTTGATAATTTACTTTCGGATAAGAGATTCAAACTCTTGATGAGTTATTCCATAATTATTTAATATTCTATTAATACAATGGTTAAATGATTTATGATTTTCTTCAATTGCTCTTTCTTTAAAATCATACATTCTACCATTCAAATAATGAACAAATAAATCTTTTTGATTGGCTTTTATGTTTATATTGTCAGCATAGAAACAGGAAAATTCTTGTTTTAGATCGTCAAAGATCTCATATTCGTCTGTGTATGATAGATTATTCTTAAGAGACTTCTTAGTTTGTATCTGAATTTCCAACGATAAACCATTTACCTTTAACAAACTTTGAAGCTATTGTGTATAGGTCAAGATAATCATTTTCATCAGAAATTTCTTTATTCCAAATAAGAAGATTGCGAAAGAAGTTTCGACCGAAAGAGACTTCAATAGTAGAATATTTGTTGGTTGTGTTTATGACTCTAACATTAAGTCCTCTTGACTGTAATAAATTTTTTATTTTTTCCGATAAGGAGGAGTTATGCACGATTTTTTCGATTGTTTTAGTAGTTTTGAACATGATAAAATATTCTATTAAGTTATATGCCTCATCATTTTCCCAGTTAAATAACGCTGTTTTATATAAACGAAAAAAGTCTAGTTTCTTATTTTGACATATATATTTTTAATAATTCGCATAATTACACTTGCAAGGCACAAATTCTTTGTATTGTTACGTATCCTAAATTAAGAACTTGAACTAATTGAATACAAATAATTCGAGGAAATTCAATTTAATAAAGTGATTGAATTTTTAAAAATAAATAAGAATCTTTACTATTCTAATCGTATTGTAAATACAAAACTTATTGAAATAATATGTGATCTGTAAACTAGATAATATAAATTACTCTAATAAGCTCCATCAGTGTGCCTAATATTAAATTAATTAATATATACAATGCCATGTTTCTGGGAAATATTAGAAAATTGATCGAGTCGTACAGCAATTACATGAACTAATTAAAAAAGTAACAATTGTTAATCAAGAATCTTTAATATTCTAGATGGATTAAATCCAAATTTTATTGTAAATATCAATGTGATATGTAAACTAATTAATATAAAAGTACTCTAATAAGCTGTATCATCAAATTAATTAATATGTGCAGTGCCCACATTAAATGATTCTCAGGCAAATACTTCGGAAAATATCAGAGATGATATCGAGTTTTACAGAGATAATGTTTCTCAAAGAAATATTAGAGATGATATCGAGCTTTACAAAGATAAAATGAATAAAAAACTAATTAATAAAGTAAAGGAATCAAACAATATTAATCAAATCAAGTTCTGGATAGTAAATGATTGTCTATCCATGGTCGTTTCTGAGAAACCTGAAATAACTGATCGAAATAAAGAATTTTGGAGTTTGACAGAGAAATTGTTATTCATTACTAGTTTTTTTTGTCATTACCCGGATGACAATTCGGCGGAAATTGTGATTGAGTTACATAACAGATTGAAAAACATGCCAAAATCTCCACGTGAAGGCGAAGAGTTAAATTTACCTGGTTTACAAGACCTAATCTTGGAAAAGTATGTTGATTATGCCGGATGCACTGCGAAGTCAAAGTGCATATTACAGTCGGGTTTGAAAAATCATACAACACGTGCATGGCATAACACAATTGACAGATATATCGAACGCAATGATAATAGTTTAGAATTGAGCGCAATTGAGAATATGTTTCGGATTCTATGATTGCATTTTAATTTTTATGTAAATGTTAATTCACTTTTTATCACAATTTATTTTAATATTAGATGAGCTGATAACAGAGGTCATAAACCATATCATATTTTTATGACCTTGATATAAAGATCATAAAGTCTTTTATAATAAAGAAATGCTGATTGAAAATTTTAAAATCACAGTTAATATAATGCTCACATAGATATTCTCGTGTTTCTAACTATCATTAGAAAGTCATAAGCATAACGAACGACGCACTACTACAGTACAGTACGGAACATCACGACTAACAAAAAACCATATTATTCTAATTGATTTCAAAGAAAAATCTGTATGAAAAGTATGTGGCTTTGGTTTCATTCAACAACAATTATTTCAATTGTATCAGCAAAATAAGTAATAATATCCCTTGGCCAACCCTATCTACATAACTTTTTCATGTAGTTATTTCTACCAGTTACTGAAAGATTATAAGAAAAGAAGAAATTCGGACAAATATTCTGAAAAACCGCTTAAAAAAATATAACTTTCTTGAGGATTATTACAAAGTTATGTTTACCAGAGTTACGAATTAATTTTACCAAAATTATGTTTGCCAAAGGAATTGAAAAGGACGAATTCACTTATCAAAAACTTTAAAAATGGTAATCTTACTTAATATCAATAAAGTGAAACAACAAAATAATTGCCATGTGAAGGTATTCGTTTTTGTTAAGGCAAATGCTAATAAGTCATACTCTCTCTCAATCTTCAAAGTAAATTCGAGTCAAATAGCAACAAAGTAGGTTTTGCTATTAAATGAAGTGACATAATTTAATACACAGAACGAATTATTCAACATGAATTAACATACCAACCGATTTGACCCGGGTTTCAAATCAGTGAGTCTGGGTCATCCGTTTTGACACGGGTGACCCGGTTTACTATAACCCGGTTCAGAACTCTAATTTTTTAACGATAAAGCTTTTAAGGTTTTCCCAGCGCTCTTCTGATAACTATTTATCAAGATCAAAGTAATTTTCAGGTTATTGTTATTATTTTTATAATTACGAGTCCCATCGCCTGTTAATTCTTCATAAATTATAAATGACAATTAAAAATCAATAATTTTTGATTTGTATTTCAAATTACAATTAAAATTATTACTAATAGAATTCTAATCATTTTATCAATTATTTAGAGGTTTATTGTTTATTTTAAAAAACTCAAACAGTATCCTATTGCTAATTTATTTGAATTATATTCAATTCCATTATTTCTTAAAAAATTCTTATGTAGGTTAATTTGATAATACATAACTTTGAGAGCATTTCTAATTTTCAATCAATTGACCCAAGAATGCTAGGTCTTTCAGAAATAATCTATTTAAGAAAGTGTTGCTTTGAGATTCTTTCCTATACTCTTCTACTACTTCATTCTTTGGAACTAATTCGTATTATGATAAGCTTTACGCTCTTCATCAGAACAATTCATTTAGGATTATGTGTAAATACAAATATTGAACAATCCTAGTTAATTTTAATACGTACGTACATAAGCATAATATTCTGTATTGTAGAGATGTGAACCGTTATCATTGGACACTAAATTAAAATAGCGGGGCTTATAAATTCTTTCTTATATCAGAAATTTCTTATATCAATAATTACTTATATATTAATTATGGGCTTTAAATTCGATAAAAAACAAGACTTTATGGTGAACACATCTATTTCTGATGTTTTAGCATATTATTCAACTTTAATGACTTCGGTGAAATATTCAGTTGATGAAATTTCTAAAATTCATGAAAATGCAGAATGTAACAAAGAAATTTGTTCAATTAAAATGAGACTCATGAAAATTGCAGAATCAGAGATGAATTTAATGATGCTAAACATGGATAATAATATGAATAACTTTATTAAAAGTGGTTATTATTTGAGTTTCAAAAGTTTCAAAATCATTATATCAAATATCAAAGAGTATGTCAAGAATATTTCAACTCTTAGGGGCTATAAAAAGTATATCAATGCAAAAGAAGTTAAAAGTAAATTTGAAAAGTTGATTAATGAATACAATAAATGTATAGAGAATCTACAGTTTACACGTTTTACATTAATGGCTGCTGATAAAGAAAAGGTTGAAAAAGATCTGAAAGAAGTGGAAGAAGTAAGTATAATATTTGTCGCAACTGATGTTGAAATTTTGACATATTTGAATATTTTAAAATTTTTTGGGGATTGTTTTTTCGTATAGGGTTTTGGGATAGATTTGATATTTAATGAGTACGTATGGATTTTAGCGGGGCTCAAAGTTTCAAATCAGATTTCAGCATCAGCTGCAGCTTTTATTTAAAAAATGACATTAAATACTCAAACTGTATCCCTTTTTATGTGAAAGACTAAAATAAGAGAACACTTATTTAAAATTTTTTATTTTTAGACTCTTCAAAATATTACTTGCAGTGACAATCGGAGCATTGACGTTACAGTTCAGGAAATATCCATAATTAGAAACCAAATTGCTCAACAACAGGTTCGTGCTCAAAGGATTAACCCAAGCGAATTAAATGATCGTCTAGTATCACTTAAAAATCAAACTTTGAAGTCTTATGAATCAAATAAAATTGAAGGAGAAAAAGAATTTCATCGTAAATTATACAATGGTTTTGAAGTTGAATGCAAGCCAATTGACGATTATCAAGAAAGTGAATTATCAATCCTTGGAAAATTACAATCAAAATACATACTTCGTTTTTATGGTCTTTCATTTATAGATAATCTTAAAGTCACAAATTTGCTGCATTAATGATTGAAACAGTTTATTAATTCATATTTTATAGGTCTAAAAATTAGTGCTAATAATATACCATCCTTTCTTGCTTTAATTTTTCAAGTTCGGATTGGGTTTCCTAGATTTACTAAAGTACTAAGTATAATAATATTTAAGTAATAAATTTTTTAAATTTCTTACCATTAATTTCATTTCAGTTTCATTGAGTCTTATTTTTATTTGTTCATACTCGTCATTATGCTAATAAGTAAAGAGTATAAGTAATTATTTATATATTTTAGTTCTAACTAAAATGACCTATTATTTTTTACCAGAAGGTAACTATCGATATTTTCATATTTTTCTTTAATGTTGGAAGTATTTTTTTTATTTCTAAGTGGTCTTTTTACAAGATTTGAACTATTTCTTGTTACAATGACACTTCCGTTCTCATTAAATTTAAGTTCGAGAATTCCTGGACATAACTTTTTTAGTTTTGCTGCTTGTCTTAAAAATTCGTCTGAAAGTAAGAATTTGGTTCTATGATTTTCATTCATTTTCAAGTTCTGCAGTAGAAAAGAGTAAGTTCTAAATGTTGATAACGATAATGATAACGATAACAAAATTTCGCGACCAGGTCAAATCAAATTTCATGATCAGTATGATGTCATCATTCAAATTTGAAATTGCGGGCATACATGCCCGCAAATTGACGTTCGAAAAAATCGATTCGATTAACGTATGTTTGTACTACCATATACAAGATACCGATACGTCGACATTTGGACAAAAATATAAATTAACGTTAAAATTACTCAAAATTTTACTAAGATAATCCATATAGTTTTCTAAATAAAAAATGGTTAGAACCTAAAAAAAATATATAATCATATATTTTTTAGACAAATCTATTAATTATTAGAGCTTGAACATGCTTTGGACACTCTTGGACACTTGGACATGGTCAAAAAAGCCTTGGACAGTGAAAAATGTATACCATAACGATAACTACCTCATGTTGATGATAGAGGTGCGATCCTTAAACTAGTAGTTAATATAAATAAACTGTAGTTTATTGTAAAACTGTAGTTAACTGTAGTTTTAAACGTATTGTAATTCACAGTTCGCATCTCTAGTTGGTGACGATACTGGAGAAGATACATATAAGGGTGACCCAGGTACAATCTACCACCAAAACCGGTTTCGATCTTTTCAACTTACAACTTTTTTGTGATACAGTACCATAATATGTATGCACTATCTGTACACGAATGCAATATAAATGTCATTTGACGAAAATAAGCCAAATTATCATTATTCTTATAATATTAAATCTCTGGTAAGGCTCTCAATACTGTCAATACATCATAATTGGTGGGGAGCATTTACTACTATGCAATGAAGCAACAGAATTTATATATAAAAATTTTTTTGTTAGATAATTGTTATCGTTATAGTATATTAGTTAATAACGATAAGTGTTAATAACGATAGGTTAGATCAGCCATGATTTAGGAAAAATCACCACTCGACACCGGGATTTTTCTAATCCATCACCCAATGGGACACTAAAATTCCAACTTTAGTTATATGTAATAATTATATTAAATAGAATAAACAACTGAAAGACATATTTACATCTTATAATTTATTAGTATCAAGTGAATGATCCATATGACTTCAATAACATGGAATGTTAATGATAACTCCACTCTTTTAAATGTGGATTCAAACAAACTTGAAGTAAATTATACAGGTAAGGACATACATGTATTTTTATGGGTGTGTATCACCAGGATATTTTGTATAAAAATATCAAGGCTACATAACTTATTATCACCTTACTAAATGTTCTTAAAAATTAAAAGGTCGTGGCGAAGATAATGATGCAGTAATTCGTACGAATAACCCAATTCCGTTACAATGCAAATTGTTTTATTTTGAAATTGATATTACAAATGATGGCAAAAATGAAGAAGATGAAAAAAATGGGTAAGATGCAGAATATCTTACATTAAATAAGATTCATTCCCTTATAATTTCTTCATTCTTTTTGAAGAATTATTGCAATTGGATTTTGCACAAAATCAGCCAAACTAAATAAATTATCCGGTAATTACAGAATTTACTTTTTATTGTCCATAAAAATATCTTATTTAAAAATATATTATTAATACATTTATTATTTATAGGGTGTGGCGAGAATTCATGGGGATATCATAGCGATGATGGAAATTTTTTTGATTGTTCAGAGCTTGAAGAGCCATATGGTCCTACATTTAAAACCAGCGATACTATTGGGTGCTGTTTAAACTTTAGAAATAACACCGTATTATATACCAAAAATGGCGTGAATCTAGGTAATTATTTTTTAATTCCTAAATTTATTTGAGATAAAAGTTAATAATTAATTGTTTTAAGCCATTTTTAAGGAATTGCATTTCGAGACATAAAAGATTTAAAGGGTAATCTTTATCCTTGCATTGGAATAAGATCAAAAGTCAGAATGTCTATAAAGGTGAATTTTGGACATAAAAAGTTCAAATATGCAGGTGAATATGAATATGTTTTATCTAACATTGAATCTACATGTCTAAATTTTGTGCTTATTTTAATATTATCATTACCTTCATGAATAGCAATAACTGATGATGATATTGATGATCGATTGAAAGAAAAATGGATTAAAGCTCTTGAACAATGCGATAATAAAGATAAAGACATGATTGAAGATTTTATAAAGTCGTTAGAAATTAAACAAAATGATGAAGTTGCATTAAGATATCATGCAAAGGCTCATTTTATTATGGGAAAATATAAAGAAGTGCTTGCAAATTTAACTAAATTGCTTGAAATTGATCAAAATAATGCATTCGCGTTAAGATATCGTGGAGAAACTTATCTTATTTTAGGAAAATATGAGGAATCAAGTACGGACTTAAAAAAATTACTAGAAATAGACAAAAATGATAAATGGGCATTAAAAGCCAGTAGTGAAATTAATAGGCGGTAATCATCGTTATAGATATAAAAATAATCATAATATTTTATTGTCAACAAAATAGAATTAACTATTAATTATTCGTTCTCTATTCTGTTATCTGTTTTATCAATATGTTAAATCAACAGGGCGTAAGTGTTGAATTTTATTCATATATATAAAAATAATCATAATATTTTATTGTCAACAAAATAGAATTAACTATTAATTATTCGTTCTCTATTCTGTTATCTGTTTTATCAATATGTTAAATCAACAGGGCGTAAGTGTTGAATTTTATTTATATATATAAAAATAATCATAATATTTTATTGTCAACAAAATATAATTAACTATTCCTTCTCTATTTTATCTATTATCTGCCATTTTCTTACACGTTAAACTAGACGGTGAGTACAATACTGATATTTTATATCTAATTTATTTCGTAAAAATCTTTAAATAGCTAATTGCAAAATTTATTTCATGCGCAGACAATCATATTTCGGAACATGTGGAAGTTGTAAGCAGTACAATACGTTTTATGCCTGGTGCCAGACATGCGATCCCAAGACAATTATACAAGGATGGTCAAATAGCGATGTCATCGATAACCTTGTTAAAGATTGTATTAAAAGTTTCAGCGTGAAGCTATAATGCATGATGAGGTGATTGAATGGATCCCATTTGATAGATTAAAAGAAATCAAATACATCGCTGAAGGAGGTTATGAATCAGTATTTTCAGCAATTTGGTTGGATGGTATGCGAGTTACTGAATATACTGATGGTAACTGGGTAAGATCACGTAAAGAATCATCTACGGTTGCACTTAAAACTTGGCACAATGCACAAGATCCTTTCGAATGTTTAAAAGAAGTAAGTTAAAACTGTTTTGTTGTTGTATATTACATATTAAATATATATATTAATGTAAATTCATTAAATAAGTTTAAAAATCATATGCAATGTAGATTAATGGGAAGTGAATTAGAAATATATGGATTAACTAAAAGTACTAAAGATAATGAGCTTCTTAAATTAAAGGCTGGTGATTATTTGATGGTACTTCAATTTGCCGATAGTGGAAGTCTTAATAAGTTTTTAAAAAATAAATTCAAAGAACTTACGTGGAAAGTTAAATTGTCGCAACTTATTGATATATCAAATGACTTAGTAAAAAGTCACAAAGCGGGATATACTCATAGTGACTTTCATAGCGGAAATATTTTGCAAAACAAGATTGGTGAAACTATATTTTCTTACATTGCTGATCTTGGATTATCTAAAAAAATTGAAGCTGATGTTGATGAAGCCGAAGAAAATAATGAAATTTATGGAGTTCTGCCTTATGTTGCACCTGAAGTTTTGGTTGGCAAAAAATATATACGAGCAGCTGATATTTATGGACTAGGCATTATGATGGCTGAAATGTCATCTGGGCAGAGACCTTTTGATGGTCATGAATTCAATACATCACTCGCAGTGAAGATTATTCGTGGTTTGCGACCAGACTTTGCACATGGAACTCCAACATGTTACATCAGACTAGCTAAAAAGTGTATAGATCAAGATCCGCAGAAACAACCCACTGCAAATGAAATTAGCTCAAAGCTTTATCATTTATGGTGCTTTTTACATTATACTAATAAATTTGATAAACTTGGTATAAAAGAGAAATTCTTATCTGCTGATAAATTTATTGAAAAATTACCAATTATCGAACGAAAGCATCAAGATTCAATGTATACTAGCAAAATTATTAACACAAGACAAATTAAAGGTATTTAATATTATTTAATTACTTAAAAAAAACGTGTTTGTAAATTTATCTAATCATAAACATATTTTATTAGATTCTAAACAATTAGATCTTAAAATTTCAGATATTTCAAGTTAGTATTATTTAAATACAGTACATAAAAAAATTCGTATTTTTTCAGTTTTGCAAAAACATGTTTTTATGATTGGTCTTTTCCCGAAAAAAAAAATATTGGTGATTTTTGATCTTTTAAACATAATGACCATGTTTTTGCCAATGCTGGTGTTGCTTTGATTTTTATACATCAAGTTGTAATTTGATTATATTAAATACTGGTTTGTAATTTATTAACGTATTGTCTATTTATTTTATAAATTTAAACAGTTGAAGATGATGATTAAAGTCAAAAACACGAAATATAAGTGTTAACACTTTTTAAATTACCAATAGTTAATGTTGATAAAACTTTACTGGCGTATTTCATTGATAACAGAAATTATAAAATGTATAAATATTGCTTTTTATTATTTTTTTACTACAAAATCTGGTCTTTTAAAATTATTATGCATATTGATTCCATATATTCATGAAATAGTGATTTTCATTTTTGAAATTTTCACTTATTTAAATTTAGATTTTTTTTTAAATAAATAGGCAAAATTCAATAGTTACTGTTATAAAGCCATTACTAAGTTAGGTCACATAAATTATAAATTGAGCAAGAAATAATTAGGTCTTTTTTGTCGAGTGGGTCAAGTTTGTCTTTATTAAATGTAAATTTTAAAATAAAAATTTTCTACTTCATTATATCTATTCCTATTCTTGACTTGTATAAATTTGTAAAAATAATAAGAAAATTTAAAAATAATTGAATTGGTTTTTTTTCGATCATATTAAATTGTTCAAAAATAAAATTAAATATTTTAACTAAAAATATTAATTTCTTTTTCCTTAAGAAGTTTGATCGCATCAATGTGGTGATTAAGAGCGGCTAATTTTAAGTATTTAATGCCCAATTCTTCATTCACAGGGCAAAGTAATTTTCCATTTAAATACATATCACCTAAATTATATTGAGCTGTGACATTTCCAGCATCAGCTGCTGCCTTGAATAATTGACTTGCCCTAACAAGATTTTTAACTCCCGAAGGATATCCTTCAGACAAGTAATATCCCATCCAATATTTGGCTGTTGCATTTTCCAACTCAGAATGGGCTTGAAAACATTCCCATGCTGTATTCTAATCTTTTTCTTATGAGCTTTAATGCCTTCTTCAAAAGGCATTTTTGGAAGATTAAAATTTGTGGCTATTTCAGGAAGTTCTATAGGTTGTAGTTGAGGTTTAGATCTATCAAAATCTATTGTTCCATTAGAGAGCATGATGGGGAAGAACCTGGTTCGACAGAGGCGATGGATAGCTTATTCAGTTCTAAAAAAATATCTTGAAGAGAAGCTCTGACATTAATATCTTGTTGCCAGGCTTTATACGTAGTAAAAAAAAAAGGCTTTAGCAAACCAAAATAAATAAAATTAAAGTTAAATGTAAAAAAATATATTACCTGAAATTATTATTTCTGCAAATTTTCGTTAGATTTTTTGGATATCTGGTGGGCCAACTCCCCAAGAAATTTTTTCTCGATTACCCTTTAAAACATGCTCCTTAATCTTATTCATTTCCATATTTGTATATGGAATTTTTTCAAATGCAAGTTCCCAAAGCATCATCCCGAAACTAATTTAAGAAAATAGATTAAGAAAATATAATTAATATCTTCAATGAATCGAAGGAATATTTACCTAAATATTTCGCATTTGAATATATATCGCACAGGATTTTCAGGAGTTTCCTTTAATTTTTCGGGAGCCATCCAATGTATGATTTCATTTAAACAATTTATTTTACTGGTATGCGATGAATCATGACGAGCATATTTAAAATTTGCTATCTTCGGCTCGAGTCGTGAAGTCATCTATTTTAGTTTGTTTATTGTAATGATTATCGTTCGCAAACATTGATTCCATAATAGCGATAGCAATAACTGATAATGTTAAAATAAATTTACGACTTACTAGGATATTTGCACACCTGATGTCATGGTGCAGAATTTCACAGGTATGCAAAAACACAAGGCTGCAACAAATATCAAGAGCTATTTGTACTTTTGAACACCATGCAATATCATCTTCATCATATAATTCTTTAAGTGTGCCAAGTTCTGCCCATTCAAAAACCGTAACTCGATAGTTTGAAATTTTTGAAAGACCATAAAATTTAAGGATATTGGGTGAATCTTTCAATTTTCCTAATATGGCAAGTTGGGTTTGAATTGTTTGACTTTCAGATGTATCATCATCTATAATTTTTGTACGTTTGTAGGCGACTTCAATAGCTCCATTTAGCAGTTTTTTAACGAGAGGTGATTCTTTGTTTGTTGCCTCGTGTGTCAGTAAAATTTCCAATCTGAGGGTCGTTTAATTCTCTCAGCTCTATTTCTGTTGCTCTGATGTTTTTAGTAATAGAATTTTAGAATCTCAATTGATTTTTAATAATTAATACTTCTTTCAGAACATTGTTAATATTTTGATTACCATCAACGACACCACTGCCAATTGTTTCCAAAAACTATTTAATTTAAATTTACAAATTAATTACTTGAAATTCCATTAATTCATTAATTAACAGGAATTTACCTTTGACATTTCTTCTAGGTCGGATTTAAGGGCCATTGCATCTATTTCTCTCTGTTCGTCGTTAAAGAGGGTTGTTGCAAAATGTAAATCATTCATGGTAGTTTCGAATTCGTTAATAAGCGATCCGAACTTTTCTTAACCTTTTAAACCCAGATATGGTTGATACATCTTTAATGAATTGTTTTATCCTTTCCATCACATCAATGAATTTTAAAAAGGTTTTATAGTAATTAATATCACGGAAATTTTTTTCATAATTTTTTTTCCTTCTTTCTAAAGTTTTAATAGCTGCCTCTGCAGCGGTGACTCGGTCCATCAAAGAGCTACAAATATTTTTATTATATTGAACATTCTCATAAATGTTAAATATTTCTGCAATAATAGTTGTCACAGTTGAAATATAGAGGTAAGTATGGTTGTGCTGCGTCTCCGATAGCTCCAATTACACCTAGAGTGTTTTTAATAATATCTAAGTTAGAATCAATTTCATGTGTTTCTGATGTTGTACTCATAGTTTCCCGTGTTAAAGATTTATAATTATTATAATCAGATTAAGCTTAAATTTTCAAGGTACCAGAACAGTATTTATCGTTATTACAAAGTGTCACAAATAGATTTTTTTAGAATTTAGCTTGTGTTAGTAAATTCATCGCCAACTTTCTGGTGCGTCCGACCCCAAAATTTTCTTGTAATTTAAGTCCATTTATGCGAAATTATGTGTTATAATTCTTAGAATAAAATAATTTATCGTTATGCGATTTATGCGAATCAAATAAAATATTTAACTTCGAATTATGCAAAAATTACTAATTCTGTACTGATTTATAAAACATCATTTTATGCACAGACTATGTCCTCTATAGGCTTATATAATAGGTGAAATATGCTACACTTTATGCTATCACTATGTGATAAGATCAAATTTCATGATCAGGTGAAAAA